AGAAAAAAACCAATAAATGAGTTTAGAACGTTTAGAATCATATGCACATTTTCGTGATATTCTAACCTCAATCGCTCTTCACTCTCAGTTTAACATTTTTTATATCAACAATTATTTTATAATTTAAACAGGAAACGCAAAATGGTTTGGTGCGATATATGCCAGCAGAATATTTCGGGAAACATTTACAAGCACAAAAGAGTTGAGCTTAGTTGGGATCGAGGTGGTATTAAATTGATTAAACAGGAAGATAAAACTCTGATCGAAGCTATACAAAACGAAAAAACATTCGTTGGACCTTCGCTGTTATATTTGAAACGTCTCGCAAATTATGCGGTAACACAAAATTTTCAAGCCACATTTTTTGGAGTCGACTCCAAGCAATGCCAAGCAATCCCAATTTGAAGATAATTCTAATGTCAGCAACGCTAAACAGCGAAAAATTCAGTAGATATTTCAATGGTTGTCCGATTATCGATGTGCCTGGACGTACTTTTGATGTTCAAACTATGCATCTCGAAGAAGTATTAATCAAAACAGAATACAAAACGAGCAAAATGGCCACATATTTGGAAGAGAATCAAGTATCGCAAATTCGGCGTATAAAAGATGGTAACTATTAAATGACATACTAGATATTACATATCGGTTGCCTTATAAAGCACAAAGATTAAATCGTTGCTTAGAAAAACGCATCTTTACGTAACATATTAATTTATTGTTTATTATTTCATTCTATAGAAGACATGCCGCGATCATATCGCTTAATGTGCGACAGTCGCCTGGATTCTTATATTTTGCGAAAAGATTGTGAATCATTTGAAAACGTTTTTTCTCTCATTGAAGGCGACTACATGCCGGCCAATTATGTTCATCGTACAAAGCAACGCACCGTGTTGGGAATTGCTGCGGAAAATGGTTCACTGAATATGATGTTAAAGCTTTTGGCTTTTGATGAAAGTGCGACCTTTAAAGATCCATTTGGTAAAAGCGCAATTGATTATGCGAAAGAAAATAAACAAGAGGAATGTTGTGAGGGTTGTGAGCTCTTAATGTGTTATGAACGTGTGACATCCACCACAACATGGAAAAATTACGTGGAAATTGGAAGAGCGTATCGATCAACACAAGGCACACAAAATATTATTGATCACAACTTACTTTTTCATGTCATTGATCATATCCATGAAAATACGTCAAAAAATGGCGCTATTCTTGTATTTTTGCCCAGCTACGACGATATATGCGAACAACATGAAAAGTTAGTAAGCGTACATGGATTACAGGATTGGGGTTATAAGATTTTTGCGCTGCATAGCGAACTAAATGATGAAAACAATGAGGGTCATGCTCATGTCTTTGATCGCATGGAAAATGGCGTTCGAAAAATAATATTATCTACAAATATTGCAGAAACAGCACTTACAATAGATGATGTCGTCTACGTTATTGATGCCGGAAAAGCAAAATCGCTGTTTTATGACGCGGAAACCAAATCGACCATTCTCGAATTAAAGTCTATTTCACAGGCATGTGCAAAACAGCGCAGTGGCAGAGCTGGTCGCGTTCAAAACGGCTTCTGTTATCGTTTGTATTCATTGGAACAATACAAAATGATGCACAAATATAAGCCAGCAGAAATTGTACTTTTGTAAACATTTGGTAAACATGCCAATCGATTGTCAATTGAGTAAGACACTCTTCTACGCAATTATTTTGCGATGTTTGGATCCCATTGTTATGATTTCCAGTGCACTGTCGGTGAAAGATTTATTCGTACTTTCATTTGAAAATACACAGGAAGTGACTGAAAAAATCAATGAAACAAAAAATCGATTCGCAGAAAATAAATATAGCGACCATCAACTGTATTTCAATATAATTCAAAATTGGTCGAAACAATTACGGGAACATCAACGAAAATTTTGTGTCGAGAATTACATTTCACAAGGTAACATGTTAAAAGCCGAAGGCATTCGACGTTTAATCTTCGACTACATATGCAAATCTGGTATGATTTCGCAATCAATGCGTGAATTGAACGAAAATTCCAGCAATTGAAATGTGGTGAACGCATGCATCATGGCTGGGTTTTATCCTAACCATATTGTGAATAATGGGAACAGCATTGGAAATACCCATCCACATCCGTCATCTGTTGTGTCACAAGCTAGCCTAAATCAACCTGGACTTGTGGTATTTGAACAAAAACAAAAACGAAAGAACGGCAACTTTGTTCTGAAAAATATTTCAGTTTTACCATCGGAAGCTGAAAGTTTGTTACCAAAATTGGAAGAACTTTTATGCCAATTTGTTCGTTATTGATACAAAAAAAAATTCATATTATCGTTCCAACTTATTTTTTATATTTACCATAATTTTAATACCGATCATTCATTTATTATTAGTCAATAGTAATAGTTTCGTTTCATTTTCTGCGCAATGAATGCGATATAATAAGAAAATTACACAAATTGCCTTAGTTATAATGTACACAAAAAAAAAAATTATTTCAAAGTGAATTCAATTGAATACATTGAATACAAAATAATTTATACGTTTATACCTTTGCCGAAAATAAAAGCCATTTTTCATCTTTCTAAATAAATTGGACTGAAATTACATTTATTTGATTAATATGTTTTTTTAAAATAAAATTTGAAAAATAGTTTTCGCTATAGGCACTCGTACAATTTCTGCTGGCTTATATTTGTGCATCATTTTGTATTGTTCCAATGAATACAAACGATAACAGAAGCCGTTTTGAACGCGACCAGCTCTGCCACTGCGCTGTTTTGCACATGCCTGTGAAATAGACTTTAATTCGAGAATGGTCGATTTGGTTTCCGCGTCATAAAACAGCGATTTTGCTTTTCCGGCATCAATAACGTAGACGACATCATCTATTGTAAGTGCTGTTTCTGCAATATTTGTAGATAATATTATTTTTCGAACGCCATTTTCCATGCGATCAAAGACATGAGCATGACCCTCATTGTTTTCATCATTTAGTTCGCTATGCAGCGCAAAAATCTTATAACCCCAATCCTGTAATCCATGTACGCTTACTAACTTTTCATGTTGTTCGCATATATCGTCGTAGCTGGGCAAAAATACAAGAATAGCGCCATTTTTTGACGTATTTTCATGGATATGATCAATGACATGAAAAAGTAAGTTGTGATCAATAATATTTTGTGTGCCTTGTGTTGATCGATACGCTCTTCCAATTTCCACGTAATTTTTCCATGTTGTGGTGGATGTCACACGTTCATAACACATTAAGAGCTCACAACCCTCACAACATTCCTCTTGTTTATTTTCTTTCGCATAATCAATTGCGCTTTTACCAAATGGATCTTTAAAGGTCGCACTTTCATCAAAAGCCAAAAGCTTTAACATCATATTCAGTGAACCATTTTCCGCAGCAATTCCCAACACGGTGCGTTGCTTTGTACGATGAACATAATTGGCCGGCATGTAGTCGCCTTCAATGAGAGAAAAAACGTTTTCAAATGATTCACAATCTTTTCGCAAAATATAAGAATCCAGGCGACTGTCGCACATTAAGCGATATGATCGCGGCATGTCTTCTATAGAATGAAATAATAAACAATAAATTAATATGTTACGTAAAGATGCGTTTTTCTAAGCAACGATTTAATCTTTGTGCTTTATAAGGCAACCGATATGTAATATCTAGTATGTCATTTAATAGTTACCATCTTTTATACGCCGAATTTGCGATACTTGATTCTCTTCCAAATATGTGGCCATTTTGCTCGTTTTGTATTCTGTTTTGATTAATACTTCTTCGAGATGCATAGTTTGAACATCAAAAGTACGTCCAGGCACATCGATAATCGGACAACCATTGAAATATCTACTGAATTTTTCGCTGTTTAGCGTTGCTGACATTAGAATTATCTTCAAATTGGGATTGCTTGGCATTGCTTGGAGTCGACTCCAAAAAATGTGGCTTGAAAATTTTGTGTTACCGCATAATTTGCGAGACGTTTCAAATATAACAGCGAAGGTCCAACGAATGTTTTTTCGTTTTGTATAGCTTCGATCAGAGTTTTATCTTCCTGTTTAATCAATTTAATACCACCTCGATCCCAACTAAGCTCAACTCTTTTGTGCTTGTAAATGTTTCCCGAAATATTCTGCTGGCATATATCGCACCAAACCATTTTGCGTTTCCTGTTTAAATTATAAAATAATTGTTGATATAAAAAATGTTAAACTGAGAGTGAAGAGCGATTGAGGTTAGAATATCACGAAAATGTGCATATGATTCTAAACGTTCTAAACTCATTTATTGGTTTTTTTCTCTCTGCTTTACATTTCTTGTTACTGTAAAATCACTTTTCAACAATTTATGAAATCGTATTCAATCTAAACACAATAAAATCACAAAATAACTTACAGTTTGCACACAAAAATTTAATTTTTTTCAACTAATAGGAACTCTCGCAAAATTGTGTTATGAAAATAATGTGTTTACGGTTTTGACAGATTATTAATGTCAACGTATACGTATACGTAAACACTTTCTCCACATTGTGGAGAAAAAAACAGATATGTGGCATACCAAGAGATGGTGTTGTATGTTATGAATCTTTTTTCATTGTTTGACATCAGGGGGGGTTGAGAGTGTCTCTGTCGCTGTTGTTGGTTATTTTTGTAATGGCTCATTATATAAGGAGAGGATGTTTGCAATAAAAACGAACCTCTTTTAAGAGCAAAAGAGGAACACGGTAAGCGCGCGCGCTACTCACGATTTCAAATGGAAGCAACAGATATATAAACACAAAAAAAAAAAAAAACGAAAACAACGAAATAGTCGACCAAAACGATCAAACAGTAGAGCATAACGAGCGGAAATTCGCAACTATATTCACTCAAACTGATTGGAAATGATTACGTTTGTGGCCAGTTTCTTTTTTTGTCGTTTTCTTCTTCATTCCGTATGAATTATGGATTAAGTCGATTGTGACATTATGCGAACGAAAGCAAAAAAACACTGCACAAAGCATCAACATACAGTGAAATGTCATCTCGGTGAATTTGTTTCCATGTTTTTTTCACTTTAGCTTGTAAAAAGCGATATCAAATCTGATATTACCGAAGAAAAAAAATGTTCTGCACACACACACTCATGAGCATATGGTCATTGAATAATATATTTAATTTACCTATTATCCAATGAGCTGTGGATTAATAATAATATAAAAACACAACAGGTTTGGGTTACTTTGTAATTGCAACTGTTTTAATAAGAATGAATTGTTTGTCAAATCGGTCATTATGCTGATGCATGAATTATAATGTTTGAATGAATGAATTAATTGTTTGTATGTATTGAATTGTATGATATATATTATATTGTATGCATTCTTTTGTGTACGGTTCGTTACACA